CAGGCTCTCTCTAGCTTTGAGAGGTGCTTTTCCCACCCAGTCTGCCTTTAGTCAGGCTATTTCCTAGCCTCACCCTGGCCTTGGTCATGGAGGAGGAGCCAGAGGCCAGCTGCCACCTCTTGGGGCATGCGTACCTCCCTTCCCTTCACTGCCTGCCAAACCCCAAAGAAAGGGTGGGATGCCTGCTGATGCAGGGACAGGAAGACACATGTGTGAGGTCTGGGTTATGGGTTCCTGGTACAGGTGGAAATAAATCATGGGCTCCCAAGGGAGATGCTGGGTGGGAAAGACAAGCAGATGCGGAGTCCAAAGACTATATCACTTCCCAGCAAGTGGCCTTGGGCAAATCACTCAAGGTCTCCAGACCTCCATGAGTCATTAGTGATGAGGTGTTTGTTAAAGACAAACCCCACCACCACCACCCCTACCCCCACCACCACCACTTCTGAGAAAGAGATGAGGTCACATACCTGGAGGCACTTTGCAACTACTCATTGCTGGTCTTAAAACAAACATTTGTAGGCATTTCTTTACTAAGTATGCTACCATTGCAATCCTTACCTGATTCTTAGTCACCATGTTTTCCCTGCTTTTTATTATAAAAGTGTTGAGGTATAGAAGGAAGTTTAAAGGATAGTCTATCCAGATAGATTCAAAATTGATAGCATTTTGGTGTATTTGTTTTGCTTCTTTGTAAATATGTGCACATTGACATGCGTGTATAAATTATAGAGTCACTTGAGAGGAGAGGGACAGGAAGAGAAAGGGAGGAAAAGACACACGCAGGCATGACACGCGCGCATACACACACGTGTCCCATTTGAAAGTTGGGGACATCACAATACCTCAGTTCTAAATATCAGCACTTCGGCATCCATCTCTTAATAAGGACATTCTTCTTCATAGTCACAGTACTATTGCCACCCCGAAGAAAATTTAAAATGATTTTATTTTATTCAATATCTAGTCCATACTCAAATTTCCCCCATTGTCCCCAGAATCTTGTTCCTGGCATTTTTCAAGCCAGTATCCATTTAACTCCTGCTGCCTCTTGTTTGGTCCATTTATTCTCTTCCCAGTGTTTTTCAGGTTATGGGAGTCTCATCTTAGTTTTGTTTTTGTTTTTGTTTTCTTTTGGTGGGATAGGACAGTTTGTGCCAACACTCATTCACATCTGTCTCATGGCCCTTATAGATTTTTCCCCCATGGTACTTGCTGCATTGCTCTGTAATGATCTGCCTGTGCCTGTCTCTCACCCCCAGACCATGGGCGTCTTAAGGGCAGGGCTCAGTCTCAGTCACTACTGTGTCCTCAGGTCTAGCACAGACCAAGCATGGCGTAAGTATGGGACAAATGACTAACTCTGTGTTTGAATTCTTATCAAAGGGCTGAACCACAAATTTTTTTTTTTAATGAGTGAGTTTTCAGTAATTCCATCTGGCAAATTCCATGCTCCTGTTGGAATCATAGAAAACATCCCAGAGGGATGGGAGACTCAGCTCAGGTCCTTCCTTTCCTTCCCATGTAGAAAGTAGGACTCTGAAATCACTTGAACTCTTGATGAGTATCTGTGTGATAAGGCTATCACCTGAAAAAGAGAAGTGCTTTTCTCCAAACCGTGAGTCTCTTCTGGAAAACACACAGACACACAGACACACACACACACACACACACACACACACACATGCACACGCACACACACAGGCACGTGAGAATCTGGCTCTGTTCCCATCATGGATCTTACAATCTTACAGAAGTGATCCTAAGTCTTTTGGGTCGCCAGGAAGCAAGAAACCACTTCCAGATCTGTGAACATGGAAGAGGGGATATATATCACGTTTGCGCTGGTTTCTTGCATGTAATTTCCCCACAAACACTCACTGCCTTAATGGGAGTTTGAAGCTTCCCCTGGCTTCCGATGATGCTTTGTAAAGCAGAGCCTCTCAAACTTTAATGTGCATATGCATCACCTGGGGAGTTTGATAAAATGAATGTTCTTTTTCAGTATATCTGGGATAGGCGCCAAGATCCTGCATTTCTAATGACGGTCCTGATGACGCCAATGTCACAGGTTCCCCAAACCACACTTTAAGAAGTAAAAATTTAAAGGATAATACATAGATCTTCATTTACCAAAAACTAGTAATTAGCACCTGGTACTAGACATAAGGCATGTGCCAATGTTGGAGAAACAAGGAATTGGGAAGAAGTTCAAGGTTGACCAGTATACAGTCCTTTGACTCAAATCCAGCTAGACATGTCTTATTGCTATGTCCAGCATAATTATTACAACAATGTGTGATTTATTAAATGTACATTGTTATTCTTGCTTTGCATCAAGAAACTAAGACTGATACACCCTAATTGTATCCCAGCTAGCAAAAGGATGCTGCAAGGTTTGAATGGAGGTCTGCCTGACTCCCAGGTCTATATCACCCCTCCTCACCCACACACACCTCTCTAACTCTCAATCCTGATGCTCTTCTGGCTGAATCCACCAACCTACTGGAGAAAGTAGTTCAAACCTAGCCCTTGGACCAGATCCAGAAGCAGCCCTGGAGAGAGGATGGGGGTGGGTAGCAGGCAGGAGACTCTAAATAATTGCCTGCATGGGAAATCAGGACCTGGAAGGATGCCCAAGGCTGCCTTCCCTAGGGTCTTGGGCCTATTTCAGATGGTGATTTTGCTGATACGATTCAAGCCATTTGCAACATGTTCCTAATATTGGATCGAACATGGCCCACACTAACAAACTTTAGTCATAACTTAGGGCCGAAACATGTCACCAAATGGGTGTATGTCTTTGGGTTAATCACACTCCTCATCTAGATTTAGGAGCTAGGAATACTACAAGTCCTTTCCTCAGATTTCTAAGCCCTCTTCCACTTTTCCTGTTGGGCCAGGATGACAACGTCTGCTAGGTCCCCATTCAGAGCTCCACCAGCTCTACCTTCTTAACTCAGGACCAGAGCATTCTGAGACTCATTCTGCCACCTTCCTCCTCTCCTTTCTAACTTCACGCACTTTTATCCATAATACTCTGTGCATCAGACCCTGGGTTCACCCAGCTGGGAAGACAAAGGCTAATGCATGCAATCCCTCCCTGGGGAGGAGACCTAAAATAAACAACAGGCATCACTCAGAATGGCCTGGTGTCAGGCCCCAGGAATATAGAGAAGAGTGCCTGCCTTAGCATGGGCAGGGCAGGCAAGCAGGCCTCGGTGGACAGCTTCAGCACACAGTATTCCTAGGTGAGTGTTTCCCCTGGAATAGTCCATTAAATCTCTCAACAGTCCTATTAGGTCAGTGCTATTATGGTCCCCACTGTTAAAATGAATGAACAGGCTTCCAGAGGTCAAATAAACCATCCAAGTCACAAAGTTCATGATTAAACGAGATAATATCATGTATACAAAAACACTTAGCAGAGTGTCTGGCAAGAACCAAATAAATGGTAACTAAAATGCTTTTCTAGTGGCAGAACAGCAGGAACCAGTACTATCAGCACTCTCAGACACAAGTGGATGAATGGAAGAAAGGCCTCTCATCTCCCCTGAAGGACAGAAGGCTAGGCTGAGGACCGGCCTTTCCTACTGAGGAAAGAAGCAGAAGAGATCTCTTAAAAGGGCTTGGAAAACTCACGAGTGCTTGGGGCAGAGGAGCTCCAACAGAGGGGGAGCCTGGGGTGGAGAGAGCAATGAGTCATGCTGGAAGGATCCCTGGGGCCCTTGTCCTTCCTAGATGGCTGCTCAAAAGCCATCCACACGCACCCCAGGCTCAGCTGCTCCATGTTTCAGCGGCCGCACTCCTCATCTGGGTAATGGAGTGATACGAAGCGTGTTGGAGGCCATCAGTTAGTGCTTAACTCCATGTTCATTGTGTTGCATTTTCAGGGATGCTCCACTAAGATTCACAGCTGAGGGAAATCACTCTCCTTCTCATTCCATGGCTTAGAATTAAAATGCCACCCAGCATTCTCTCCCAAAGCAATTGAGATTTATGGGTCACTGTCAATATCAGTGCATGTTGGCCATTATTTGAAAGTCTTCTGCTCCTTGGCACTGACTGCTATTTACTTTGAAAGATGAATGTGACTTTATCATCTATGCTAGGAGGAATGGGCTTTAAAGTGCGTGTGTTTTGTTTTGTTTTGTTTTATTTGGGGATTTTTTTATTCCACTTCATTCAGTTTGGTCTGATGATGTAAGCCCCTACTCCTCTGATAATACCAGCATTCTCGGAGGCTCTGGAACAAGGTTCAGGCACACCAGCGTTACAGTAGGGAGAGACCCTTAGAACCTTAGCAGCGAAGGTGCCCCTGTCTCATGGGCTAAAGTCACAGATACATGATCTAGGGCCAAAATTGAGACTCACCATGAACTGGTTTGAGGGGTAAAAGGTGGTCTCCTCCTGAACACTTCTTGTTTTTTGTGTTGCTGAGTGGGTCATACATAGAAACTGAGGAGGGAGCTGAATCGTTATGGTTATCACACGGAGTGTTCATTGGATTCCCCTGAAAAACTTGTTAAAACACAAATGCTGGGGACCAGCCATTAACGTAATGGCTATGTCGCTGGACTCCCATGTAGTCGTCTGTAGTTCGAGTCCCGGGCCTGGTGGCTTAAACTCACTCTGGGTGCATGTGCATGTGTGTCCAAGATTCTGAAAGGAGAATGGAGAAGAAGGTATTGTGGTGTGGCCATTCCCTCCTGGGGCGGGGGGGGGGAGAGTGTCTGCTTTGGTCTTTCTGGCAAGTGCACGCATCCCATAGCAAAAAAAAAAAAAAAATGCTGAGCCCCACTCCAGAGTTTCTGAGTCAGTGGGTCCAGGGCAGGGTCCAGGAATGTGCACTTCTTTTTTTCTTTTTTCTTTTTTTTTTTTTTTAATTATAAGAGGGCACATGCCCTCACCAGAGAAAGATAAACAAAGAGAAAGAGATAGAGGGGAAAAACACCCCCTAAAGGGGCATGGTCACACCACAGTCTCTTCTCTACTTTCCTATTCTGTTAGGATTTGGGGACATGCATGCACACACACTCACTCAGTGTGTTTTATCAAGCCTTCCAAAGTGGGATTCAAACTACAGTTGCCCATATGGGATCCAGCTCCCTTAACCACTAGGCTACAGGGCCAGCCCATTTTAACAAGGTCTCAGATGATGCTAATGCCAGTGTTAGTTCTGGTCCTTCCTGAAGGACCATTTTAGAATAGTAGAAAGTATTAGAGGCCATGAAGGGGAGAAAAGAGGCTGCTGGCAGTGTGAGGCACTCTGAGAAAACAAAAACAGTCCTTGAAAGTAAATTTTATTGTTTTACTGCTCGATATGCAACTTAACTATTTTTCTAAGAATTCTTCAGTTAAAAGTCAAATTCCATCAATAAGCTGTAAACCTGGATCTAATTTAGAAATGTACTCAAGTGCTAAATGGATCTGGGACCACTGAAGCCACCCAACAGTGGCCTGCTAGACTGAGAGTACTAGGAAGATCAAAGTGCTAAGTAGCTCGTGGTGCTGCCGCTAGGATATTTCAATGACTTTATTGGGTGACAGTTGTGAGGCAATTCCTGGTGTTGATAACAGAGCCTGGGGTACACAGGTCCACACCAATGGTCTATAAGAGATTTTCCTGCAGCAATCAGGGACTACAGGTGAATCTGGGCCCAGGATACAGTCTAAAGACTTTGAGAGTTTCATACTGAACACTAGAATGTCTTCAGAGGCAGATGACAACATTTTCTTTGCACCAGGGACCTTACATTGGAAGTTATGATGAAGCTGCAATTTCAGTGTATCAGGGCTGCCTTCTCCTCCAGGAAATGTGCTGAAACGAGTCATTGTGTGCTAAAGCCAGGCTGCTCCAAACTCTTGCATCAAAGTCGTTGCTTGGGTGCCGTTATTGGAGATTGGCCTCCTTAGCACAATTAGAGGCTCTGACTCTCACAAAGTTGGGAAATTATTACTGAGACCCAAGCTCAGGGTGACAGGTAGTGCATAGAGGGTGGAGGAAAGTCAACATATCTGGAGATATGAAAAAGACAGTTTAGAATACACAATAATTGTATTAGTTGGGACTTTGGTTCATAAGGACAAAAATCCAACTCAAATTAATTTAATCAAAAGGGGGATTTATTTACTAACATAACAGGGATGTATAAAATATAAGCTTCAGATACATCTGGCTATATGATTAATAGAGCCATTGTGTCTCTTCATTATCTCTCTCTAATTCCCTCCATGATGGTACTCAGAGTCTCCATTTTCCTTGGTCTTCAAATTTCCAGAAAGACTATGCCTTTGCCTTATCATATACCTCTGGAAAATGTTCCAGAAAGGACTCTGGCCAAGTGCTCACCCTTGAATAGACGACTATGGGTGAGAGGATGGGATCTCTGATCAGTCTGGTCTGGAACCATGCCCACCCCTTGGGCAGTGTCAGCTGTACCCAGACTAGACTAAGCAGGATCCCCCCAAGGCAGGGGCTCCCCTGGAGGAGGAAGTCAGCCAACCACTGAGAACCTGCTGCAAGGCATGAGGCCAAGGGGAAGGCACACAGGCTCCTGCAACCACAGGTGCAGACGATGATTCCCTGTCCCACTCACATGGTCCTGACGATGCACATTGGGCCCCTGCTCCAAGGTATGTCTACTGTAGGCCCCACCATGTTGCAAGCGTTAGGGCAACATGGCACAAGGTTGGGGCCACAGGGGAGGTCTGGGTTCAGATCTCAGATCAACCTGAACAGCCCAAGTGCAGTGGCATGTGCCTGTGATCCTACTAACTGGGAGGCTAGGGCAGAGGACCTCAACAGCAAGACTCTGTCAAGAAAAAAGTCAATATGTTGTCATTACTAATCTACCTGGGCCAAGCTGACCTTATGAGCAGGGAAACCCCGAATGATATTACAGACTCAGCCATTTATTGGGCAAAGGAGTCTTTAATTAGCTCCATAACACACAGAAGGACCACCTCAACTCTCAAACTTTGTTCCTCCCAGAGGAAGCAGGTGGGTGAAATAAATAAAACTCAGCCCTTTCATTGGCTTCTTAGGATATTCTGGGGCCTATTTTCAATACTATGTGTCTTAAACACACACATCAGTGATGCTTATTCCACGTCAGTCCCCAGGAGTGGTCCCCAGATGAGCAGCATCAGCTTCCCCTGGAAGTTAGTTAGACAAGCAAATTCTCAACTCCACCCCAGAGACCTGATACCTAAAACCTGGGTGGCAGGCCCAGAAGTATGCATTTTAACAAGCCCTCTTATGACTCTGATGTACTTGCCAAACTCTGAGTGCTGCTGCTCTGTACACATGTTTATGGTCCCTGACTTATTAGGTCATCGGGAAAGTCAGGACATAGTTTTCTAAATTTTTCTATGAAAAAGTGCATTGTTACTTTCCCAATGACTCAATATAGTGGTTCGACTTCAACTGAACAATGGTGCAAAAGTGATACATATCTAGCAGAAACTGTACTTCCGATGTTGAGTTTTAATCTTTCCTGGGCAAGCGATTTGCAGTAGGACACTCCCTCACAATGCCAGGCAATGACCTGCAGCTATCAGCATGCAATCATAAGCTGGGGAGAGCTCGGGGAACCCACACTCTAGAGTCCATAGATGCTCTTCAACTTATGATGGCATCACATCCTGGATAACCCCATGTAAGTTGAAAATGTCACTACGTTGAAAATGCATTTAGTATGTCTAACCTACCGAACATCACAGTACAGTTTACCCTACCTTAAACATGCTCAGAACACTTATATTAGCCTTCAGCTGGGCAAAAACCACCTAACACAAAGCCTAGTTTTCAATAAAGTGCTGAATATTTCATGCAACTGATTGAATACTATTCTGAAAGGGAAAAATGGAAGTGGTGTATGTGTACTTAAAGTACCATTTCTAGGGCCGGCAGGTGGTGTGGTGGTCAAGGTGCCAAACTCTTGCATGGTCGACTGTGGTTCAAGTCCTAAACTTGTTGGCTTGCCTTCTCATTCTCCTTCTCTTTCTCTGTCTCTCTCTGGTCAAACTGAAGAATAATTAATTAATTTAATAAATATTTTTTAAAAGTAACATGTCTACTGAATGCATTTCATTTTTGCAATACTTTAAAGTTAAGAAATAATCAAGTGAAGCTATTGTAATTAGGGGACTATCTGCACTGTGTTTACCCACATTTTTCGGAAGTTGTATTTTGTGTTATTGTATCCTTTCATGTCTACGTAATGCCCATTTCAATTTAGATGTTTTCAATGGCTGATGGGCTCCTATAATCCCATCCTAAATTAAGAAGCATCATATTTGATCCAAGTCATCAAGTTCAAAAGGACCACCTATTCCAGGGGACCAGCAGTTAGCGTAATGGCTATGTCGCTGGACTCCCATGTAGTCAACCGCAGTTCGCATCCCGCACCCCGTGGCTTAAAACTCACACTGGGCACATGTGCGTGTGGGCCCAAGATCCTGAGAAGAGAATGGAGGAGAAGGGATTGCAGTGTGGCCATACCCCTGGGGGGTGATTTCTCACTTTCTGTCTCTCTGTCTCTCTCTGTCTGTCTGGCAAGTGCATGCACCCTATAGCAAAAACCTCTCCAAAAAAAAAAAAAAAAAGGACCACCTATTCCAAAAACTAAACCTTAAGGTCCAGGTTTACTGAGCAGTCGGAAGTAGTTTTCTGTTTTTCCCATCCTAGCACTACCAAGTCAGACTTCTCCATCTCTTAATAGCCTCTTGGGCAGATTTCTTAACTTTTGGTCAATTCTGTCATTAAAAGTGGTTTTCTGAGGCCCTGTCAGCATGACCTTGTTTGTCACCAAGGACAACTTCCACCTCTTTGGCTTCTCCAACAACCCTTGTCTTCCCACACAATCCTCCTTTTTAGAGCCTCAGCAACCATGGGGGTCTTCTCGGCCCTCGGAGGGCCCAGGGAAACTGAAGTGGGGGAATGCCATCTCCCCACAGGCACACTCCCTCCAAAAAATATCCCTCCCCCTCCACCCTGCCCACCATCCTACCTTCAGTCACCTGAAGTAAGCACAGCCCCCACATTCAAACATAGCGCCTCAAATTCCTATAGATTCAGGTCAAACTCTCCCCAAATCCTCAGCACCAGCTAGGGGCAAGACCTTGACCATCCCAGCAAGCACCCACCCTAGAGCACTATGACAATTTCTGCCCCCTGTGTGCACCCTTGTCCTGTGTTCTCAATAAGTGGCTCTGACAGACCCCCAACTTGACCTTGAGAGAAGAGTAGCAATGAGAGGGACACAGGTCCGTTCTCTCGGTGGGGTCTGTCCTCGCCTCTCCCCCCTGTCTGTCTATGGGATAGGGGAAGGTGGGGGGATAATAGGGCTTGCCTCTTTTTTTTTTTTTTAAGAGGTTTTTTGCTATAGGGTATGTGTGCTCGCCAGAAAGAAAAAGAGAGACAGAGAGACAGAAAGCGAGAAATTACCCCCCAAGGGGAATGGCCACGCCACAATCCCTTCTCCTCCATTCTCCTCTTGGGATCTTGGGCATGCACACACTCATGCCCGGCATGAGTTTAAACCACTGGGTCTGGGACTTGAACCATGGTCAACTACATGGGAGTCCAGCGACATAGCCATTACACTAACTGCTGGTCCCAGGGTTTGCTTCTTTTTGAGCCCTGGAGTTGGGGAAATCTGGCCCTAATGCTGGGACCTCTCTTTAGTGAATGCAGTTTTCTTAGTCCCTGGCATTTTCAGAAGAGGTTCTAATGCCAGTCCTGTTTACTACTCTCTCACACATATTTTTGTTTTCACAAATATTGCCTTAATTAACCTCACGATGATCCCATAAGTTATTTAACCTAGAAGGAAACACTCTCAGAGAGGTTAAGCCTCAAGTCCCAGGTCACACAGCCTAGTGGTAATGGTGGGATGGGAACCCAGCCCAGTGTCTCCTGAACACCTGTCCTCTCCCTGCTGTTTCATGCAGATACCTCAGCCATACTTGTCTTCCAGTTCTAGGCAGCAGGAAGCAACTAGCCAGAGAAGTAACTTGTTTCCAAGGCCACTGAGCAGCTGACAGGGGAGAGTTAGGGACATGAAATTTCTTTAGAGAAAATGCCAATTGGTTCAAGTCAATCATGCCCAGAAGACACCACATGAGTCCCGACCATAGTCTTCCCAAGCAAGATCACATGCTCCCCGGGAACCCTGAGCTGGCTGCAGTCAGCTACTCCCCTTGGCTTCCTGTGGTGGGGGAACCATGGGGATATAAGTTGGTACCTCCCAGGCAGAAAGCTGGACTCTGGCTCACAGGGCTGTCTGGCTAAATCTTGTGTTCTTGTTCCATCGAGTACCCAGCCCAGGTCATACGGGGTCAGGGCACCATCTGTGCCTTCTGGATGGCTTTGTCCAGAATGACTCAGTTTCACATGTGGTGGGTGGATGTTCATGGTTATGCTCCAATTGTGACCCACAGCAATGACAATTTGCTAATCAACAGATGCAGTTGGGCCTCTGCTACACACAAGAGGCTTCTTTCTTCGTATTCCAGACTTCTGATGAGCTCAAGACCATCCCATGGCCTTGTTGTGTAAAGAGCATTCCCGAGGGCTGGGATCCAATGAGTTGTACCCCCGACATGGGCTAAGATCATACTTTCCCCACTGAAGATCAAAGCTTCCACCCTTCACAGAGCCAATTGTGAAGTTTTCAAGAATTTCGAAAGCTGATTTTTAAACACAGCCATTATTTAAGAATTAAATTATAAACCTAACAGTGAAATGAATTATGTTTAGAATATCACTAATAAATCATTGAAACTCTTCTGGTCCTAAATTATTTTATCACATTTTACTATGATCTCTGGTCCTTACGGTTATTTACGTCTATCACGCCATATGGTAGAAATACTGTATAACCAGGCGCTAAGGTGCATCTCTTCTCAACTCCACATTCGGTAACAAAACAGAAACTGGTAGTTTCAATAGGAGCCTTGATGATTGTATTTATACATGGAAACCAGCAAACATTACAAAGTCAGGTTCAATTTGTTGTCTTGTTGCTATGTGGAGTGAAAGTCAGTAAATGTTCTATAGCGGGCCAGGCAGTAAATACTTTTCCCTTTGAAGGCTAGTAGGTCCCACTGGAGCTACTGAACTTTGCCACTACAGCACAAAAGCACCTACAGAAAATAGAAAAACAAGTGGACATGGTTGTGTTCCAGTAAATTTTACTTACAGAAACAAGTGGTGGGCCAGATTTGTCAGGTCATATATTGCCAGTTCTGGGTCTAGGCTTCAAAAAGTCATGGAGAAAATGTTAATAATGAAGATTAAACTTTAAAGTGTCTGTAGTTGAGGACCAGCAGGTGGCATAGTGGTTAAGGAGCTGGGCTTGTACATGGTCATCTGCAGTTCAAATCATGGACCCAGCAGCATGAAACTAGGTCACTCTGGGCATGTGCATATGCATGCCCAAAATTCTGAGAGGAGAAATAGAGAGAAGGGATTGTGGTATGGCCATTCCCCCCTGCAGGGGGTGGGGGTGATTTCTCACTTTCTCTTTCTCTGTCCCTCTCTGTCTCTCCAGAGAGCACACATGCCTTGTAGCAAAAAGCCTCTCCCCACCCCCAAAAAAGGGAAGTATCTGTAGTTGTTCCATTTATAAATAGAGAAAACATTCTTCCAGTATTCAAAAAATAATGATCTGATTCAGCAAAGGAGCTTATGTCATTGTAGGATGGTTGAAGTCCCCATATACATCTTTTTTGTGTTATTCATTGATGTAAATGAATAGATCAGCCAAAATTCACATGCAAATTGCACTTGATCATCATTTGCCCCTAAGTTGGCTGATGAGAGGAGAGTTCATCAAAAGTCAACAAAAGCATTCTATAAGAATCAATTAGTGGGGCCGGCAGGTGGCATGGTATTTGAGGTGCTGGACTCCCACATGGTTGACTACGGTTCAAGTCCCGAGTCTGATGGCTTGCTTTCTCACTCTCCCTTTCTCTCTGTCTGTCTCTCTCTTTGGCAAAATTGAAGAATAATAATAATAAATTAAAAGTTAAAAATAAATCTTAAAAAAATAATCAATTAGCAATATAGCTTTATGATAACAAGTGTTGTATATTTTATTATTATATATTAATTATTTAACATTCATCATTTGAAGCAATAAAATGGATATTAAGTGTATGTATGTAGGTATGTATGTACATATATGGATGGATTTTTTTCCCCAGAGAGCCATTTGTTAGTATTTACCATCCCACCACTGCCTGTGGGACATCTGCATAAAATGAGCCCTAACAGTCCAGACCAACACAGTTCAGGGCTCAGGGAGGGGGAGGATGTCAGGGATGGATGGACAATTGGGAGAGCCCTGCAAGGAAGTCCTGGAAGGCTTCCTGGAGGAAAAAAGCCTTGAAGAATGGGAGGACTAAATAATGAATGGAGAGGGGCTGCACTTGAGGCTGGAGAATGCCATGGGCAAAGGAGTGGAGGATGGGATTCCCTGACTCAGTCAGATACCAAGAGAAGGGGATTAGCGGAGAACAGCAGTGGAAGACAAAGTGCATCCAGGTATATTTAATGAGATGCAAATGTGCTTAGAGTTGAGCCAAAAAATGAAGAAAAGAAGGTTACAAAACACGTGCATTCATGTTCAGGAAAAAAATATATACATTAGAAGAAAATGTACTGAAATATAAATAGCTGTGGGTAATAGGATTACAGCTGATTTTGTTTTCATCTTTCTTAATATTTTTCTGTCACTTCCTATTGTTGTGAAGTGGTATGTATTACTTTAATAATCATGAAAGAAAAATAAGCTTTTCCCGTATGAAGGGCAAAAAGCACTGAGGCAAACCTGAAGCCACAGCCATGGACAGGGCACAGCTGGCCTGATGTAGCCCAGAGGCCCCTGGAGGGAAGTTCGAGAGAGGGGTAGTGAGACCGGGGAGTAATCACTCCCACCTGGGAGGAGTGCAGGAACTCAATGGTAGCCACTGCTAATGGCCTCCTTCCTCCCACAGCCAAAGTTCCCTGTCTCTGCAGGGGATCAGTCCCCCATCCCAGTCTCAAATGTCTACTCTCTCTTTTCTCCCCTATGACTAGTTTGCAAACTTTCTCCCCTTCACATTCACATAGGCAAAACAAATCGGGAAAAGCAAGAGGGCCTCTCTTTCCAGGGTGTCACCATTGCTACTTTCCCAGTGCAGTTTTTCAAAGTAAACATCACCATGCATAGAATTGGAAAACTGAAAGGAATCTCAAAGTGCATTTCATCCAACTCATCTATCTTACTATTAAAGAAGTAGAACTGAAAAGGTCAAGTGGCATATCCAAGGACAGAGCTAAGTGAAAGCTAATCTCCAGCGGAGTAACCCTGAGGGTCTGGCAGCCCCTTTCTCAGCATCGGGGTATGGTCAGATGAGCCCGAGCTTCATCACCCAGTGAGGTGGGCTGAGCTGCCCTAGGTTTCAGCAACGTGGAATTTTCTAATCCTTTCTCAGACTTACAGATGGAAAGCATGAATGCCTACAGGACACCTCATTTATTACACACCATTTGGCTTCTCCAGGACAGAGCTACAGCATCATTTCTTTTCCTCTCTGTCTCTCTGTGCACCACACACCTGTAATATCTTCCTCAGTGGATCAGATCACTGCCGCTCCATTCGTTATTGGATGAGGCCTTCAAATGCTATATTTTTATCAAGTCTTTCGTTTTTTTTCTCTCTCTCCCTCTTTCTCTCTCTCTTTAGTTGTCAGAGGGCCCTTGTGCTTTCCAGAGTGACAAATCTCCCACCAGTGGAGTATAGTCATGCTGCAATTCTTTTTCTGCATCCTACCAGGATTTGGGCCTGCACACCCAGGTGCCTGGAGTCTTTCTCAAGCCACCAGGGCCAGGATTTGAACCTGGTCAGTTGTGTGGAATCTGGTTCCCAATGCATAGCACTTAGCCACTGAACTATGGGGCTGGCTTCTCTATAAAGTCTTTTTATGTACAACTAAGGCCACATCACTTTGTCCTCTGTTACCTTGGTTATTACTATCTTTATTCCTCCAAAATCAACCAGGTAATCCCACTTGGTAATTAAAAGGGGTAGAAGCACTGGCTGGGTCATTTCCTCCATCTAAACATGGCCGAATGGCTTATAAGGTGAGGATGTCTATCCTGTGTGTAAAATCTGTCTGCCTCTGTGATTCACACAATTCCCTGTCCTCTCCATCCTGGTCCATGTCTCCTTCCTGCCACTAAGGCTGTTCCTGGGCACTTTCTGAGCATCTTTCTGTGCAGTGCCATATCGTTAGTCTTAAATTCTATGCTCCTAGAGTGCAGGAGACATAACAGTTTATACTTTTTCCTGATCAGAAACATATGTAGCTAGAAGATTAAAAAACACTTTTTTATGAACTAGATAATAACAAAAATTAAATAGTAAAGGTCCCTGCTGTCCCCAGTAACTACAGAGCTTTAAAAATAAAGAAAGAAGCACCTGTTTTTTACTCCTACAGAGACAGGGACATTTATAGAGGAAAAAACCGTGCCCATATATCCTGTGCTGTGCCTCGTGGAAGAAGAATAAAAATTTTAATGAGGTCATAAGGAAGTGCTTACTAAATGTGAAGTTCACAAACTGACCTTTAAAGTTGGGAAATGAACTTCCCCCAAGCAAGGTCAGCATGTGCTATGGATAGACCAATCACTGAGCCTCTCCACCACCGCCCTCCACCTTATGCAATTAAAGAACAAACCCAGGCATTTTTTTTTTAATGGGATTGGTCTTTAGATTGGTGCATTTACTGTTGTTATATTGGGTCGTTGGAAAAGCCATGACATGTTTTTGCATAGAAAAACATGAAAAGTAGATGGCATAATGGCTACATCGCCAGACTCCCGTGTAGGCAATTGCAGTTCAAGTCTCCGACCCTGTGGCTTAAACTCACACTGGGCGCGTGTGCGTGCATACCCAAGATCCTGAGAGGAGAATGGAGGAGAAGGGATTGTGGCATGACCATCCCCCCTGGGGGGTGATTTCTCGCTTTCTATTGCTCTGTCTCTCTCTGTCTTACAGGCAAGTGCACACACCCTATAGCAAAAACCTCTCCACAAAAAAAAAAAAAAGAAAAAACCCCCCCAAAAAAAAAAAAAAAAAAAAAAAAAGAAAAAAGAAAAAGAAAGAAAGAAAGAAAGAAATTAAAGAAAAACATGGAAAGAATGTCATGGATTTTCCAACAACCCAATGGTTAATAGCAAAGATATTGCCCTCATTTTTGGCTCTTTTCTCCAAATCAAAACATTCAAGATGACACTGTCCAAAGAATAAGCATTATTTGAGATGTTCCCATCTTTCAGCCTTTCCCAGCTTTAACCCATTTGTTTTTGATACTTTCAGATTCTAGACCTGACTTTTGCCAGAGCTAAATAAGTCTGTGTTTCCTCTCCCCACGACAAAGGCTCAGAAATCAAAGAACTTTCTGTTTCTCGGCAATTCCCAGCAGCATCTAGTCACTGTTCTGACCCAGGAATTACATTCCAAGTACCACCCATGCCTGTCTCTATACTACTGCTGCCCCTTGTCTTTGATCGCAGTTTCTCAATGGAATAGGACAAAGGAGGTTAGAGCACTTTCTGGAAACAGCTCCTTGTCAACTATCTCCATTTTTTTCTTTTGTAATTTCCAGTTTATATATAAATGTTGTACATCTTTATGGGTCTTTAAAGCATATGTACAGTGTATAATAATTACATCAAGGATAAATTCATTCTTGTGTCAATTTTCTCCTAACCCTCCCTCACCCCATTCAACCTCTACAGTCATCCCCTCCATTTTTATGCTATCAAGTCCTTCTGTTTTTGCTATAAAGTGAGGCGACTTCAGTTTAGGTTAAACAGGAACATTCAGGATTTGTTTTTCATAGCCTGGTTTATTTCACTTACCAGTATATCTTCTAGATTTATCCATTTTGTGTCAAATGACAAGAGATTTGTTTTTCTTTACTGCTGAGTAGTATTCCATTGTATATATGTGCCACATTTTCTTAATCCATTCATTGGTTGTTGGTCACATAGGATGATTCCTTTAACTAACGTGGATAAATCTGCAATAAACATGAATGGGCAAATGTCTTTCCGAAAAGTGATTTTCTGTCCTTTTACAGACGAGTGGGATTACTGTTTCAAATGGCAGTTGTTCTATTTCTAGATTTTTGAGTAACCTCCACAGTTTTCCACATTAGCTGCACTAATTTACATTCCCACCAGCTATGAATGAAGGTACCCCTTTCTCCTCAACCTTTTCAGCACTTGCTATTCTTTATTTTATGATAGCCATTCTGACTGGTTTTAATACCTCACTGTGGCTTTAATTTGCCTTTTTTCTATCTGAGGTGAGCTGTTTGCGTTCCCTATATATTCTGGCTTTCGATTCTTTATCAGAAATGTAGTTTGCATTCTGTAGGTTGTTTCCTTATTTATTGTTTCCTTTGCTGTGCAGAAGCTGTTTGGCTTGACATAATCTCATTTGTTTATTTTTTGGTGTTGTTGCCTATGCTTTTGGAGTCTTGTTTAAGAAATCATTCCCTACTCCAATATCTTGAAATGTTTCCTTTATGCTTTACTCAAGTAGTTTTATAATTTAGGTTTTATGTTTAAGGTCTTTAATTCATCTTGAATTATTCTTTGTAAATGGTGAGAGAGAGGAGTCTTTAGGAGATCATCTAAGTTATACCTTAGATCACCTCCACAGACTGCCATCAACAATAGCATTAAAATTCATTGCTTTATTATTTTTTTCTAATGAATAGTTAAGAGGAAAAGGTAATCGATCATAGGCTATGGAAAAAGCTGTAAGTCTCCACTTGGCTATGGGCACAATATGTTCTAAGAGGGAGAGATGGTAGACACATTTCGTATTGTTTAGGTGAGGTCTGTATATTCTAGTTCTGCTGGGGCAAAAACAGCTCCCAGTCATTTAAATCCAATGTCCTTGTGGACAGTAGGTGGGGCTAATCTCTTAGCACAGAAGACTGCTGGGAAGTCCTGTGCAAACCTAATGTGATCCTTGACCTTTCCCTGCAAGCAAGAAGTGACACAGATAATACCGTCCTAGAGACTCTGCTTTGGATAGTTCTCACTGGGAGGGCAAGATTCACTGGTGAGGTTGTATTTTAGTCCTTTGTTAAGTTTGAATAAAACATTTTCAAAGCTGTCAGAGAACTGGTTTCATTCATTGTTTTATTACTTTTTTTTTTCTTTTGGGGTCTCTTTTAGAGAGTTAACAATAAATACATAAATCAAATGAAAGCTAAAAATACATTAAAAGTCCCAGAGTTGGTCTAGGTTTTCAGGAAAACAGCAGTTTCTAGAGGAAGTCCTGCCCACTCCTGAAAACAGAACAAATAAATAAGAGGAGAATCCACCAGCAAATGAGCGTTCAGTATTTTCTCAAATCACATCAGTGGATTTTTACATTTATGGGAAAACATAAACATTCTCCCAAATTGGGCTTGGCCCATACTGAAGTAGAAGATGAGCCCTGCGAACTCTGCACTTAATATGGTTGTTTCTGCAGCTGTCTCAGGAAGGAATTCACGCCCCTCCCCAAGGACACCTGCACTCAACAGATTCTGGCTCCACTTGCCCTGTGGGGAGGAGCAGAGTTATCTTCCACAGCCACGCAGCAGGGCTTCCTCCCTAACAGGCAGGCCCTGGTTAGGCCCCTGGGTTCCTCTGTGATCAGAACAATAGTCAGAGGGTGGGTGCAGCTGACTCACACTCAACAGAGCCAGTCTCCCTTTTTCCTAAGAAGGGAGTCTCTTGATTCATCCCAAAGGCTCCCATGCAAACAAAGCTGTGTGGGTACCAGCCTGTCTGCTTGCAAGTCCACTGGTGGATGTTGGGGGTCAGCCCTGCAGGGGTGTGCTCTGGAAGTACTTTCAGCTGCTAACAAGCACCCCTCAAGCTGACCCCAAAATACCCCAAGTCTCTCAACTCTCAAGTTCTCAGCCCATCCACAGCCAGGCCTCTGTCTTTTAAGACATTTAAAACACTTCTGACATCAAGTTTTGACTTTTTCCTGGAGTACTAACTCTGCGTGAAGCACTGCGGTTTTAAGAATTCAGGAATTAGAGAACAGCTCCTGGGGAAAGGAGGGGCTGGGACTGAGCTGTCAGAAAGGACTCAGTGACTTGGCATGTGGGCATGTAAAAAGGACAGAGAAGGGCCTCAAGGGAGGCAGCATGGGCAAACAATCATGGCGGGCTCTTGGGACCAGGAGCCACACACCCAACCAGACAGAAAGGCTTCCGTGCTCCAGAGCCCATCTCTAGCAAACCCTTCACTTAGGCTATAATCACATTTCCCACTCTTACGCACTCTGCAAGGGCGCTATTGGCATAAATCCCTCTCAAAGATGGGAAACCCAGGCCTTAATGGGCCACATGTTTGTGCAAGGTCGCTCAGCTATCATGAAGACAGGGCTGGGCTACAAACACAAAATGACTGACAGTTCTGTTTCCTACCCTGCCACAGTGTCTGCAGGGAGAGTTTGGAGGAACTCTGGAGTTGGGAGATAAAAGGGCACAGGAATAAAGAGTTGGGAAAACAAGGCAGCCTGTCAGAAGGGAAGGAGGCAGAACCAGAACTCAGGAGACCCCAAAACCCAGGACCACGAGCCACATGTCTTAGAAACGTGAGCTAGTCCTTTAGCCTCTTTGGCCCTCAGTTCCCTCAGCTCAAAGAGGACAATAGTCCAAACTGGTACTTCTCCGCAAGAGACAATGTCAAGTGTCTTGAGTAAAGGAGTGACTGGAACGTGACATTTAAGGAGACTCTGATTGGGATTGGCCCACAGTGTGGTTTCAGAGGAAGAAAGAAAGCAGGAAGGCCAGCTCACAGATGTGCAGAAACTCAGATGTGAGACAGAGAAGACAACCCTCAGGCACAGAGCTTGGGGTGTCTGCTGTTGAAAGGTCAAGGCAAGACACAGAAGTGCTTCAAAGGAAAAACACCACATTTGGAGATTGACAGGAATAACGACAATTACCGGGACTATAGTCTCTATCCCACCAAGAGCTCAACTGCCAAGTCTCACGACAGCCCCACCGCAGGAAACATTACCATCACCCCCTCTTACAGAGGAACAACCAAAGCTTAGAGAACAAAGTAACTGGCCCAGGGTCACAGGGCTGACTGGCAGCAGAGTGGGCTTTGAAGGCAGGCAGTCTCAGTGCAGGGCCCAGGTTCTTATCCCCACGCAGGACCGTCACCTCCCTGTGTGCAGAAGGAAAGAACAGCACGCTCCCCCAGGCCTCTGCCTTTCACTCACACTGGCCTTTGAGGATGCCCTCACATTCCAGCTCCTCCTTAAAACATTCACGCCTTAGTCTATTCGCTTACCCACACCTACCCACACCCGCCTGCCACTGTTTCCCCCATAGTCCAGGCTACTTCTGTAAGTCCCGTTTCGCTCACTCTCTTGCCCATCTGGCAAGCTACACCCTTTTATCCAAGCCGAACGTCTGCATCCTGTTTTGTGAGAATTAGGCTCAACTTCTTCCTGGCTTCTAGCATCTCCTTGCCTATTTTTTATATGTACCACACTGTATTTATTATGGTTTTTTGTGTTTTTTGGTTTTTTGTTTTTTTGGGTTTTTTTTTTTTTTTTTTTTGTCTGATTGTTCATACTTCCGCCTTCCTTCTAGGATTGTGAGTACCTTGAAGGTTAAAGAGGCTGGGCCTCAGAGTCATCCATGTGCACATAGCACATGACATACAGTGGGTGTTAGATGCTAAGTGTCGATGAATAACTTAACATCATGGGTCCAGTTTATGTTCCTTTCTCCAAGGGACTGCTAAAGTGAAGTAGTGAGCATGTGAGTATTGGAAAAGAGTTCTTCTGGCTCCAACCCCATCCTATCCCACTGAACAGAATCACACTGTTTATCATAAGAGTGTTCTGTGTCCTTAAAGAGATGGTTTCACTAGTCCGCTTTCTTCCTTGACTTCAAATCTATCCCATTGGTGTAGACACTCACCATTAAACACACACATGCTTCTTCCCTGACTGGATCTCAGACCGAAGCCAAAGAAATAAATATCCCTTCTCCTGTTCTGCTCCCACTACAACATACACTAAAGCGTGGGAGGGCTGAGCCCGGGCAAGGCAGGGGATGGGCTAGTGACCCAAAGCCAGAACCTTACATGTAAGCTCCGTACTTCAGGGTAACTGCCAACTTGGTTTGCTCACCTGCCCAGCAGCTCCCAACCCCCATAGCCCTGGCTTAGAGGCTGCCCAGTATCCTCCCAGGTGATCCTTAAGGGAATCTAGAGCTCTGGCTCTGCAGGCCTGGGCAGAGGAAGCAGGCCTGGCGATTTCCTTCCAGGCCTGCTGAGCTCTGCTGTTCTCCAGTCTCTGTGTGCTGCCACAGGGCTGCAGAGATATCCTTGGAGCCTGTTAGCACTTGCCCAATTCCTGTGTGGCCACATGGCTTCCAGGACACCATAGACTCATCCCTGCTCTCAGAGTCATTGTAGGAGAATCCAAAAGGTGGGTCCAGTCTCTTCCCTCCCAGCAATGACCCTCACTGGGGCAGCTCTGGGGTACCTGGCTGTCAGAGTGGCCTCCAGAAGCCAGCTCCCCAAGGCAAGACTGTCCTTCCACTGCACACACCATGGCAGCCAGCCTCCTGCCTGACTGCTTGGTTCTTGTCTTCCGTGGACCACTGAAGCAGAGGGGAAATCACGTGTCATTTGCTCCGTGGTCCTGACAGCCACTTGTTCAGGCCAAAGAATGCCAGTGAAGCCTAGGGCCTGGGTTCCTGTTTCAGTGAGCTCTGTGACCTCTGGAAAGGAGCATGACCTCTCTGAACATGACCTGTCTCTTCATGCCTTCCCTGCCTCCTCAGTGGCGAGAACTGTGGCACCGATGTGAGTGGACATTGAAGAGTAAACGAGCATGTCGTGTGACACACTGGTCACAGGAAGCTCTCTGGGCATGCCCTGCACTTTAGCAGTCACTTGGAGAAAGGAACATAAGCTGGACCCTCACTCCCCACACTGATGTTCAGGCTCCTTCCTCGCTGACTGTCAGGTGCTCTGACAGCAGTGACAATGGGCAGACCTCAGCCTGTGTCCCTGGTAGGCACCACTGACTGGGTTGGGGAACCAATGGGAGGAGAGAAGGGAAGTATCAAGGGTCTAGGAGGTAGACAGCACAATTTATAACCAAATCAAACAAACGAAACCAGCAACTACTAAGATCCCCAGTCTGTTTCTAATATGCCTGGTCAGGCCCCATGCCAGTGTGTGCGAGAGAGAGAGAGAGAGAGAGAGAGAGAGAGAGAGAGAAAGGAAAGTTGATAATTATAGTTTCCAACCCAGGAAAAGAATGGTAGAAACTGGCCTAGACACGTGACTTCACACACACACACACTTTATTTCTTCGGTTATTGCAATGACACAGGCGTGCGTGCACACACACACACACACACACACAGTCTGGGGGGGCCTGACTGTAGTCCCAAAGTCCTTCATATTTTTTCCCAGAATGTCTAGAGGGCATTTTTTCTAAGGACCCACTAGCTTGTCCTGGTCTTTCCAAGTGAACCACTGAAGCCATCCCCATTCACCCTCGTTATGCTATTTGACCCGAGATGAGTAAACAAAGAGAAAACAGCCTTTTTATTCCTTCCATGTCCCTCCTCCCCTTACTCTTTGATGACATCCTTGCTTCAAGTGGCCGAGTTCTCTGTCAGGCTTCATCCACTTGCCAAGATCTGATTCAGGACTTGATTCTCCCATGAAGACTTCCTTCGCAGTCTCTTCCCCTAATAACATGCATCTGTCCCCAAACTTGTGCAAAGCATTTCTGAGGCCAAGCATTGTCCTGCAGTCCATGTGTAAGGACCCACGATCCCTACTCACCAGATGAGGAAACTAAGGCTTGAAAGGTGCCATAACTTACTGACGGTCACACAGCTCACAGCTGGCAGAGACAGAATTCAACTCAGGGTGTCTGACTCAAAGCCAGTGTGTTGAGTGCCACCAGCTTATGGTTAAAATACGTACCTCTTTTCTTAGCTCTCCCATGGAACTTGAACACTTGTTCTAATGCCTTGTTCTCACAGCAGTCTCACAGGTGGTTGTCTCTGCAAACCGGGAGATGAGCACCTTGCGTGGGAGATAAAAGCTTACATTCTTCTAGGTTCCTAAAAGGGGAGGTTCCATAAAGAGGTTGACTGACTCTTCAACATCTTTAAAGGGAGCTTTAAACCCTTTCGCCATGGCGGGGGTCTGTGATCTGGACCGAACCAGATTTGGGGAATGGGCCCTACTCTTCTCTGCCCCACTCCTCCTCAGCCCTCTCTTGCTGTAGTGTAGACACAATGCATCAGCCCAGGCTATCTTCCACTTCCTGCCCACTGCTCCTCTTCTAGCTTCAGCACTCACCCTGTTGTCCTCAACTCTTCTACCCCATCTGAGCCCCTGCTACCAGCCTGGGTCAGACATGCCTGTCCTCTCACCAGAAATAGAAAAGAAGCCATTAGTCTCCTCTCTGCCCAGAGATGGAGCATGTATTCATCTTCTCCAGTCCCATCTCCCAGGCCCCTCTTCTGGGGCATGTGGTTATCGACCTGCTTTTCCAATTTCTGTCATTCCTTAAAGATCACACAACTGGTCTGCTCATTCAGAGAGAAACAAATCCAACAAAGGTAGTCATTATCTTTGAGCATTTGATTTTGAGTATATCTTGCATGACTCTCAAATATGAGGTCAATACAAATAAAATCATTTCAATTGCCCAATATTAAATATTTCTGACCCAAAAAATAAAAAGCCTTTTAAGTGATAGTTACATTGATACCAGAGTCACAATGACAGGTTTCAAAGATGAAAGTAATGGATCAGAAAACAGAACTGTAGAGAAAACACAGATGAAAGGCAAATAACCCTATTTGAAAATCCAAAGCTTACATTTAAAAAAAAATGCCAAAAGCACTATTTTGTGTGTTTTTCTTTTAAATGATGAAAGGAGCACACACTTGCCATCGACTTGAGCTCCCAGCCCCCTCCATACCTGTCCCTTTCTGTCGTTGTTGTGTCTTTAGCAACCCATGTTTCCTACACTGGTGCTCCCAGAACCTAGTTGGCATCTTCCTAGGAGTAATACCGGTAGTATTGCTATGGATACCTATGAATGGACAGGTGCTCAAGACACCTGTGGGCAGGTAGTGCCACCTAAAGGACCAAACTAAGCTCCAAAGAGCCAAACTCCCCATCCACATGGTTCACCCAGTCATATACCAGCTTGCACCCCTGCACAACCAGACCCCAACAGGGCTTTGCATTAAAACAACGCATCATCAGAAATACCTTACCAGTATAGCAAAAGCATTTTATTTAGAACAAGATTTAAAGACTATGAACATTAAGCATCAGAATCTCTTTTCTACTTACCACAGCTTAAGCCAGTCTTGAGCTGTCCCAGACTTGAGTAGAACACAATTTTCTAACTCACCTTCAATGTTCTTGGGGTCAGCTCTTCCCAGACTTGTTTTTCTAGAACTTCAGTGGCATTGCTATACAACAAAGCATGCAAGGCTTTCATCTGCCATACCTTTAAAGTCCAAATAAAATACTGCTCTGACTGGTTTGCACTGGAATAAAGAAAAGCCTATCATCGCAGTCCTATCACTTTTCCAGGTACCCCAGGTCGCTATATCTTACTCCTTCAGGATCATGAGAAGATTCTCTGTCATAATCATCCTACATTTGCCCTTGTCACTCCTGTTCTTCCAATGAAAAAAGTTATTTCTCCCACTTTACTGCCTTTCAAACCTCAGCTCTTTGCACTTTGGAGCAGGATGTGTTTGTTCATTGATTGCTATTTATTTGGAATGAGTGCCTCTTATGAATGCCAAAAGTTGTTTTTTGTTTTTTGTTTTTTGTTGTTTTTTTTTTTTTATAACTGGCTTTGAGCACAGACTGGTCTTTTATATACTCCTAATACAGACTGAGGATTTTTTCAAATCACCTTTATAAGATAATTCTATGAAATTCTACATGAACAATGGAAAAGGTTTTAAGTGGGACATTAAAGTAACCAATTAAGTAAAGATTGTGGGAAATTGCTGGTATTCAGGGATAAGCTTGGCAGAGAGACAAAGGCCAAGATTTCAGCCAAGGGCAGGGGAGCAGGGACATAGATTATAGATCAGAATCGTGATGAATGGAGTCTAAAGAGGACATGGGAAGCAGGAGTGAGCAGGTGAAGGGCTAGCAGCAGACTTTCATGGACCTAACAAGTCAGCTAGGCCAAGAAGTCTCAGACATGTCCTGGGGATCCAGCAACTGGGAAGATGGAGTGAGAGAGGTCATCACTCCTCACACACTGAGACTGCCAATGCTCTTTGTGCCCTTTTTCTCTACACTCTGCAGTGTGTTGTCAGACTAGGTATAGGTACTGATGAAGCTACAGAAAGAATCACAGCCCCTGGTATCTGTCATTTCTTATGAACACCGGTGTAGAGGAGCTTTGTCTTCTGGTGGAAATCTAAAAACCCTGACAAGTTCCATGGAGCCCCATCTCCTGATTCAATGCCTAGTTCTAAAATAGAAACACTTAGTCCAAAACCCAACAGATGTTTGGGCTGTCATCATTATGCCTGTACTAAACTCATTTGTGATTTCACTGTAAAGTCCTGTCTGTGTGATTTATTAGGAATCACTTATAGAAGATTATTTGGAAAATCTTCTAGACATGAGGTATTTATGTATCCATCTCAATGATTTATCTTTTACGGCAATGCAAGAGGATAGTTTGAAGGAAATTTTGGTCAATTTTCCATCTCATCAACCCAAAAAGTTTCTGGAAATTGCCCTCACTTTTTAAGATGATCTTTATAATGTTCCTTAGTTTCATGAAAGATAGACTAATGTTTTCCATCTTGCAGACAATACCTTCTCTAGGTAGTCATAGGACCCTGCTCAAGTCGCTTGGCTCTTGGGGTCTCTTTTTCCTCATGGAAGACTTTAAACAGTCAATAGACTCTGTGATCTCTATGACTCCTTGTTCTTAGTATCTAGAGCTAACTCAAATATTGTGTTAACTATTTTGACCAAACCAGCAGGGCAGGTGAGAAACAGGGTTCAACGACCAAAATTCTTCTCTGCTATAGGGTGCGTATGCTCCCCAAAGAGACAGAGAGAGACAGAGAGACAGAAAGCAAGAAATCATCCCCCCCCCAGGGGGAATGGCCACACTGCAATTCCTTCTCCTCCATTCTTCTCTCAGGATCTTGGGCACACACGCACATGTGCCCGGTGTGAGTTTAAGCCACCGGGTCTGGGACACAAACCGTGGTCAACTACATAGGAGTCCAGTGACATAGCCATTAGGCTAACTGCTGGTCTCACCAAAATTCTCCTCTGGTTAGTACCCATTAGGTCAGAGCCAACAACTTTATATATGGTTTGGGTTCCTCTTCCCTAAACACATTGTGACTTTGCATTGATAGTCATCCTCTGTTGCTCTGGTCATTCATGTGGTTCCATAAGATCTTCCATCATCACAATCGGGGCGTATTGTCTCCTGGAACATATATATATAGATTCCTTTTCTTTCCATAGCATGAAGCTACCACATGGGAATTATTACAATTACCAAATAAAGTCACTTTCCACATATCTTCATCCAGAACATTAAAATGATCCCAATTGTTGCATATGTCTCTATTCTTTTTAAGAATAATTCCAGTTGTCAAAGCACTTTTCAGACATTCATCATTTTGCCTGACTCCTCACAAAAGCCCCACTTTTTAGAAAATTATTTGTTACACAACATTCCAGCTCACGTATAAGAGTTTTAACAGCCTTCTTCCCTGTTAAACTTTGGCATGACATTTCATCAAATTCTTTCTTATTGTTCATTTGTGTTCATTTATTCTATTCCTACCCAAATGTTTGCTCATCCTAGGAAAGAAATCTGCAGACCAATGAAGTATGAATCTGACTTATAGAGAGTAATTAGAGTTAAAAGACAAAATGCACTTCAGTCATCTGTCCCACCAACCCACAGGTTGTTGCTCACTATGGCCAGAAGGTACATGTCTCTCTGGGGCTCTCTGACTTGAGGAGCAGAACCTTTGACAGATCCCATGAGTCTTTGACCTCCTCTGAGATCCTCTTGAGTTCACAATGTCTGATTTCACATATTGGTGTCACTTGATGGCTACCCTGATCCCTCACAAGAGCATTTTTTTTTCTTTCATTTATTCTGTCCTTCTCCCAAGATGGCCACTTTTACTTTATTAATGAGTCAGCTGCAGAGTTTACAATCTGGTGCCAGGTTTCCTGGGAGGCAGCTTTCCTGGGTTTTGGTCAGGCTGATAAAGAAAAAGAAAAAAAAAGAAAAAGAAAAACCTCTGGGCTTCCTGCTGGCTATTTGTTCTTTTACATCGTAATTAATGCCCATGTCTTATCAGACTGGCCCATTTTCAAACGAAGTAACTGAGTCATTGACGTTGTTTGCTTTAGGGACCTTCCCACTCTGCCAAGACCTAGATTAATTGGGGTTTCGCTCACTGTTGCACAGTGATTCACCCACCAGGTATCCCTTACATCAAATCCTGCCCACTGCTTCGAAAAAATCACAGCCAAATGATGGGTTGTTTGGCAAGTCCCACTGATTACAGGTTTCTCCCACTGAGAGTCAGGGTTCACCCAGTGGTTGGGAGCTTGGATTCCAGAGTTGACCAGAATGGCGTCTGAAACAAGGACCACTTTTAACAGTCCTGAGTCTTCCTAAGCACCTGCTTCTGAGTCTGTAAGATAAGGAGAACAGGACCTGCTTCCTAGAAGGGTCAAAGAGAACAACTGAAATAAAACGCATGTCAAATGTGCAGTATGTGGTAAAAGCCAATACAAGAGTTGTCACTGATTAATCCACTCAACGCCTGGGGATAGGCAAGCAGCTAGGATTACCCCCAGAGAGTAGACAAGAACTCTGGGCTCAAAAGAGGCCCTGTGATTCATCCCCTTCTACACTGAACATACATGAACCACACCAAAATCAGAGTCAGAATCCAGCTCCAGGCACTTGCCAGATTCTCACGCTTCCCACTTCCACAGCAATACCTCTCAGAGTCAAGACCAGTGTCTTCAGTGGTTCCCAAAGCCTGGTCCCAAACCTGCAACAGCAGGATCGCTGGGAACTTTGACATGTCAGTTTTGGGGCCCAGTCCAGACCTCATGAAGCAGCAATTCTGAGAATATGACTTAGCAAACCAAGTTTCAGCAAGACCTCCAGGGAATTCTAAGAACCACGGCTCTTTGGAACAATAATTTGCCTTTTGATCTAACTCTGCCCTCTGCACCTGAGATGGGTGTTCTACAAATCCCAGTGTGATCCCCCACGTGAGTTACTGACAGGCCCGTGACTTTATTAGGGGATCTGTGACTGATACAGTGATATGGTTTAATGCAGCAGTGGTTCTCACCCCCAGAAGTGCATTAGAATTGTCCAGGGCGCTTTTAAAATAACATAAAACCCCACCCAGACCAGTTTGTGTATGGCTCTAAAGACTGCCCAGATCGACGACCACCCAGCTACAGAGCTGCCACAAAAACCTCCATGGGACTTTGCTCGGTTGGTAATATTTTTATCTCACTTAGGGTTGTGAGCTTTACAATCCAGTTCCAGTAAGTTGGCTTCTTTCCTCCCTGTGATCCTTAGACTCTGCCTGTTCAAGCCTCGACCTCGTGCCGCTAACTCAAATATTGTGTTAACTATTTTGACCAAACCAGCAGGGCAGGTGAGAAACAGGGTTCAACGACCAAAATTCTTCTCTGCTATAGGGTGCGTATGCTCCCCAAAGAGACAGAGAGAGACAGAGAGACAGAAAGCAAGAAATCATCCCCCCCCCAGGGGGAATGGCCACACTGCAATTCCTTCTCCTCCATTCTTCTCTCAGGATCTTGGGCACACACGCACATGTGCCCGGTGTGAGTTTAAGCCACCGGGTCTGGGACACAAACCGTGGTCAACTACATAGGAGTCCAGTGACATAGCCATTAGGCTAACTGCTGGTCTCACCAAAATTCTCCTCTGGTTAGTACCCATTAGGTCAGAGCCAACAACTTTATATATGGTTTGGGTTCCTCTTCCCTAAACACATTGTGACTTTGCATTGATAGTCATCCTCTGTTGCTCTGGTCATTCATGTGGTTCCATAAGATCTTCCATCATCACAATCGGGGCGTATTGTCTCCTGGAACATATATATATAGATTCCTTTTCTTTCCATAGCATGAAGCTACCACATGGGAATTATTACAATTACCAAATAAAGTCACTTTCCACATATCTTCATCCAGAACATTAAAATGATCCCAATTGTTGCATATGTCTCTATTCTTTTTAAGAATAATTCCAGTTGTCAAAGCACTTTTCAGACATTCATCATTTTGCCTGACTCCTCACAAAAGCCCCACTTTTTAGAAAATTATTTGTTACACAACATTCCAGCTCACGTATAAGAGTTTTAACAGCCTTCTTCCCTGTTAAACTTTGGCATGACATTTCATCAAATTCTTTCTTATTGTTCATTTGTGTTCATTTATTCTATTCCTACCCAAATGTTTGCTCATCCTAGGAAAGAAATCTGCAGACCAATGAAGTATGAATCTGACTTATAGAGAGTAATTAGAGTTAAAAGACAAAATGCACTTCAGTCATCTGTCCCACCAACCCACAGGTTGTTGCTCACTATGGCCAGAAGGTACATGTCTCTCTGGGGCTCTCTGACTTGAGGAGCAGAACCTTTGACAGATCCCATGAGTCTTTGACCTCCTCTGAGATCCTCTTGAGTTCACAATGTCTGATTTCACATATTGGTGTCACTTGATGGCTACCCTGATCCCTCACAAGAGCATTTTTTTTTCTTTCATTTATTCTGTCCTTCTCCCAAGATGGCCACTTTTACTTTATTAATGAGTCAGCTGCAGAGTTTACAATCTGGTGCCAGGTTTCCTGGGAGGCAGCTTTCCTGGGTTTTGGTCAGGCTGATAAAGAAAAAGAAAAAAAAAGAAAAAGAAAAACCTCTGGGCTTCCTGCTGGCTATTTGTTCTTTTACATCGTAATTAATGCCCATGTCTTATCAGACTGGCCCATTTTCAAACGAAGTAACTGAGTCATTGACGTTGTTTGCTTTAGGGACCTTCCCACTCTGCCAAGACCTAGATTAATTGGGGTTTCGCTCACTGTTGCACAGTGATTCACCCACCAGGTATCCCTTACATCAAATCCTGCCCACTGCTTCGAAAAAATCACAGCCAAATGATGGGTTGTTTGGCAAGTCCCACTGATTACAGGTTTCTCCCACTGAGAGTCAGGGTTCACCCAGTGGTTGGGAGCTTGGATTCCAGAGTTGACCAGAATGGCGTCTGAAACAAGGACCACTTTTAACAGTCCTGAGTCTTCCTAAGCACCTGCTTCTGAGTCTGTAAGATAAGGAGAACAGGACCTGCTTCCTAGAAGGGTCAAAGAGAACAACTGAAATAAAACGCATGTCAAATGTGCAGTATGTGGTAAAAGCCAATACAAGAGTTGTCACTGATTAATCCACTCAACGCCTGGGGATAGGCAAGCAGCTAGGATTACCCCCAGAGAGTAGACAAGAACTCTGGGCTCAAAAGAGGCCCTGTGATTCATCCCCTTCTACACTGAACATACATGAACCACACCAAAATCAGAGTCAGAATCCAGCTCCAGGCACTTGCCAGATTCTCACGCTTCCCACTTCCACAGCAATACCTCTCAGAGTCAAGACCAGTGTCTTCAGTGGTTCCCAAAGCCTGGTCCCAAACCTGCAACAGCAGGATCGCTGGGAACTTTGACATGTCAGTTTTGGGGCCCAGTCCAGACCTCATGAAGCAGCAATTCTGAGAATATGACTTAGCAAACCAAGTTTCAGCAAGACCTCCAGGGAATTCTAAGAACCACGGCTCTTTGGAACAATAATTTGCCTTTTGATCTAACTCTGCCCTCTGCACCTGAGATGGGTGTTCTACAAATCCCAGTGTGATCCCCCACGTGAGTTACTGACAGGCCCGTGACTTTATTAGGGGATCTGTGACTGATACAGTGATATGGTTTAATGCAGCAGTGGTTCTCACCCCCAGAAGTGCATTAGAATTGTCCAGGGCGCTT